TCAAAAAAAAAAAAAAAAAAAAAATTCAAATCAAAGCACCTGGAGGTGACTCATTGTTCGGGAAAACTCCCGCTGCCAGCATCAACAGGAATTTGAATAAGCGCAGTGAGTAATCCGGCCCTATTATAGCAACACTTGGCTTTGGGGAGGCTTTTCGGTGTCACAGGTCCCTCCTCACGCCGCTCCGGGGATGCCAAGGATCCGTTACGGCCCCCGGATCCCCCCCATTCCTGGCCACCCTGACACATTTCTAGAGCTGCACATATCCCTCCTCCTGCCCACATCTGAACTATCCTTGACAGTAGAGGATTATCAGCGTGGAAATCAAGGCACCAAGAGATGCCTTCAGACTGTATGAAGGGAGGGGGGGCTTAGCACCAGTGGCACAGTGGCCACTTTTCAGGTAGCCTGTAAGGCCAGGCAAAGCTTTTGACTTACCTCTCACTACAAGAGAGACATTGAGGAGCTGGAGCGTGTTCAGAGAAGGGAATGGAGCTGAGGAAGGGGTTGGAGCACAAGTGGGATGAGGGGTGGTTGAGGGAGCTGGCAGGGGGCTCAGCCTGGAGAAAAGAAGGCTCAAGGGGGACCTTCTCACTCTCTACAACTCCCTGAAAAGAGGTTGTAGCCAGGTAGGGGTTGGTCTCTTCTCCCAAGTGACAAGAGAAAGGATGAGAGGAAATGGCCTCAAGTTGTGCCGGGGAGGTTTAGGCTGGATATAAGGAAAGTTTCTTCACTGAAAGGATTGTCAGGCATTGGGTACCCAGGGAAGTGTTAAAAAAACATGCAGATGTGGCACCTGGGGGCATGGTGTAGTGGTTAACATGGCAGTGCTGGGTTAACAGCTGGGCTTGCTGATCTTGGAGGTGTTTTCCAACCTTAGCATTCTGTCATTATTACAGGGAGGGGAGAGTGTCTCAAAATGATATTCTCAAAACCAACTTGAGACACAGAAGAGAAAGGTGCATTTAAATCGCTCGGTCATCACAGCCCCAAACAAGGGCACTTCCCTCATCTCCTTATTATCACCTCATCCACTGTCTGAATACTGAATCCCTGAACCACTGCCTGGGTGGCAAGGACAAGAGCAATCCCAGCAAGGAGAGAGAATCAGAGTGGTCAGGGTTGGAAGGGACCTTAAAGGTCATCTCGTTCCAACACTCCTGCCATGGGCAGGGACACCTCCCAATAGACCAGGTTGCTCCAAGTCCTGTCCCTGGGATAGGGCACCCAGAGAAGCCATGAACCTACCCTTGAAATATCTGAAATACACAGTGGGTGAGCATCCAACCCACAGAGCTGCTGAGCAGGACACAGGAAGCCCCCACAGCCCCGCCCCAACCAGGCTGCCAGCAGTGCTCAGGGAAGGCTCAGTCATGCTCATTTCAAGGGGAGCTGGGACACCTATTTGACTTTTTTAGAAAGTTTTAAATGTGCAAACTCCAGTTCTTTAGATCTGAGACCCTTTCAGACAGGAAAATGAGGCATTTCTAGACGGTATAGTACGTGCCTCCAGGATTAGGCAGCAGGACTAGGAGAGCATTTTAGGAAATGGAATGAGATGAGACCCGCATGCTGGATCCTTCTGCAGATGTCATCTTAAATAATTACCCAAGGTTATGTAGTCAATAAGTGGCAGAACTGAAAATTAAAGTCAGAAATTGCGCTCCACTGATTATAAAGTACAATCCTTCCACAAGATCGCAACATAAAGCGTAATTCAAGTTCCCACTGTACACACAAAGCTCACATGTTCAGTTTTGGTTGTTGCTGGCATTTTTCAGCACATCTGCTTTCACATGTGCCACTTCTGCAGGCTGTTCTGTAGCAACTAGAAAATTGGAAGTATTTTGGTAGCTGTTTTTATAAGCAACTGCTTTTGCCCCCGTCTCTTTATCCACCGATCTCAGACTGGAAACTCCACATCCCTGTTCATCCATGTCACCGAGATCCCACTGAGACAAATCCTCTAATGTTCTGTCATAGCCAGGCACAATGTCAGCTTAAATGTACAGCTATGTACAAAATTTCAAAGCCCTACAACTCGATAAAGAATGTAAAATTTACCATCTGAGAGGACTGGTAGTCGTGGGAGCAGAAATGTGTCAATGCTCCATCATTCAGCGCTGAGAAGTCAGCCTTGCTTGCTAAGAGAAGGTTGTGCTGAAGTGTGAAAAACTTGACAAAGATCCAAGTCTGAAAACAAGGCTAATTTTAGGCCTGTAACAAAATATAGTAAAGTTTAAAAGCAATTAGAAGATCCAATTGACAGCTTTATGCTCTGTTCTTCACTCACATGTTTTATGAGGTTCAGGCCACCAATCCCCGACGGACACAATTTGCCAGGTTTTTTTGTTGTTCTGTTTTCATCTTGGAAAACTGGCTGGGTTACAGGATACCAAAAGAGCCACAAAGTTGATTTGACCAAAAGCAAAGGATTCCTTTCATTGCTCCTTCAAACAATTATGGAATCTGATCCTTCGATGATGGTGAATTGAATATTCCACAGCTCCTTCAGACCCTTAAGGGAGTCTGGCTGATTTCTCAGTGTGCAGTCCTGTCTTCTGGAGTGAAGATTGGTGTCTTCTGAACTCAGTCTATGCTCCTGACAGATATTTTGCCAAATCAATAAAAGGAACACACTCCTTAACAAAGCTTAGGGTAAATTCTTGGCAGCACATTTGAAGAGTGACCTGGAATTACTGCTTCTCTGACAGATTCAGTAAAAAACAGCTATTTAAGAGAAAAGTTTGCATTTAATAATGATTTCTGTCACCTAATATCTGTTGAGGTTTTTTGTAATGTTATACAAATTTTGCTATATATATATCTAAACACCACAGCAAAAAGGCACTGAAATGCAAGCTACTGTATCCAATGGTAGTGGTGTCTTACTATGAGGTCATAAATTATATCACATTCCAGGTGTTATCTGCAAAGATGGGCAACATCAATTTCAGTCTATCTCTAGAAGTGACTCATTTGTGGTTTGTTTGGGGGCTTTTTGGTTTTTTGTGTTTTTTTTTAAAATAAATTGATTTTATCTGTCTTTAAGTCTGGGATTTTAAAAAGAAACTACTTCCCTTGGACAGTCACTGGGATCTGGGAAACTGCCTTTCTTATCTGTTTTGAAAAGCCCAACCAGTTTTCCCTCCCCCTGTTTTGAATCACCAAAATTTTTGTGTCCAAGCTAGGAGTAAGTAATCTTAAAAAGCAGGCAAATTATCTAAACAAAAAGCAAGACCTTCATTCCTTCCTGCCACAAATGTCAGATTAGCCACTAACTAGAGGAAATTCCCTTGCAGTTTTAAGTCTGATGAGTATCTCTGCCTGACTAACCACAGCATCCCCCCTTATCTGCCTGTAGTCCAGCCAGCATCCACCCACTCCACACGTGGTGGGGGAATTAGGGAAGAAAAACCACTACAAACAAGCACTTTACTTCCCTGTTAGAAATAAA